ACAAATCATCCAATTTTACCTTCAAGCTCAATTTCTCATGTGTGCAAGACCACTCTATTTTACTAGCTCTTTACAAGCCCAATAAAAAACAACTTAATATAAAGAGGAAAAGAGAGTTCTTCCTAATCCATATGTGATACTAATCCATATGTGATGCTTGTCTTTCAAATAAGACAAACAAGAAAGGAAAAAAAAGACCCACAAAGAAATCTTTGACTTTGCATTACCAACTATTTGTAATAATACCAACAACCCCCACTAATCCAAAAGAAAAGATCAGAATAGAAACAATTCTGGGTAGATGAAGGAATATCTACTTAAGCGTCAATATATTCTATTTTAATTGACACGTAGTGAAGTGAGACATCAACCAACGTCTACAAAGTAACGTGCTATTGCATTGAATAGACTTTAGTTGAGACACCACAACACATATTATAGCCTTAATTAATTTTATGCAAACTCTGCAATACTCATAAAAGTGCTTTTATGATCATGCATACACCTTAAGTCTTACGAGCGCTCTAGAAAGGCGTCCCAAGTGTTTCCTAAAAGGCAATAACACCTTTACACTCATGTAGGTAATTTCATCAAGTTTATCTGCACATAAACTACATTAAGTCTATGGAATCATTAAGAGTAAAATAAGCTCAACTTTGTAAAGTACTACCTGTCACGATCCCAAATCCCACCAAAGCTGTGATGACGTCTAACACTACTTGTTAGGCAATCCAACATTCAGAAGCAGGTACAAACATAAATAACATAAATAAATAGTTTCAACAGTTGAATAATCATAAGCAACTGAAGTCAAAGCAATAATACAACTAAAAGCATCACATGATGATTTGGTGTCAACGAGTATATGAGCACAACAATATTAAAAATACAAAATCTAATTCCTAACTATAGAATTGTCTAAAAGATAGAACAATAATAACATAAACAAAGAGAAAATGGGCTTCAAAGCCTGAATGGAACAACAACTACCTCGAAATCGTTCAAAGCTGATATCGGTGCCCCACTCTAGTAGTCACCCCTCTCAATAGTACCAGAATATGTACATAAAGTGTAGAGTACAGTATGAATATAACCGATCCCATATACTCAATAAGTAATAAGCCTAACCTCGAACTGAAAGTAGTGACGAGCTTGACAATGTCCAATATTTAATACCAATAGCAAATAATAATATAATAATGGCAAAAGGAAAGATATCTTACATAATATCAAGTTCAGACCTTTTGAAATTAAGAGAAGAAATGAGCATACTTTTCAAGAATATCTGTTAAAACATAGATTCTCCACAGATATCATCTAAATATGGTTTTAACAATTTAATTGTGTTTTCAAGTTCAACGCATTAAATAGATGCATTAAGTACGTATAAACATGAGGGAAGAACACAATCACCTGCATGACAAGTATACATGTCAAAATCAACAATATCGTAGTTAAAATCAAGTATATCGAATCTCAATACATGTATAGTGCATGGCAAAATTTTCTTTAATCCCACGCATAACAATACTCAGTATTGTACGGGTGCCTAATATAAATCCCTCACCCAATCACATACATGACCCTGTGCATGTGCCCACGGTTAATTCCTGAATCCGAAGGCGCGGGTCCTTGCCCAAGCACTGACCGGATATAAGCCAACAATCAATATTACTTGGCGCAATATGGGGCCTGGAGCACGCACCACCTCGCAATCAATACCACTCAGTACAATATGGAGCCTGACATACGCATCACCTCATAATCAATACTAAATCAGCTATATGGCCCAAACATAGTCATTAAACGCTCATGTCTCAAATATTCACATCTCCTAGTACTAAGATCAAACCGTGTCACACATATAAGGGCATCAACAAGAAGTGGGATAACATATAAGGAATACATATAGTATGACGACCCGGCCGGTCGTCTTAAGAATTAATGCCCCGATCCCCTATTAACTGCTTTCCCCGTATTTATTTCTGCTATTTTGATTTGCCAGGATGTTCAATTTTGAATTTCGGAGAGTTTTGGGATACTTGGTCCGTTAATGAGAACTTAAGTTTTGGAAAATTTGAACGTAGTCAGAACAGTATGAAGACAAACTCAGAATGGACTTTCGATAGTTCCATTAGCTCCGTTGGGTGATTTCAGACTTAGGGGCATGTTCGGATTGTGTATTGGAGGTCCGTAGCTAATTTAGGCTTGAAATGCCAAAAGTCGAATTTCGAAGTTTCCGGTTCGTTAGTGAGATTTTGATCCAAGGGTCGTGATTAAATTCCGGAAGTTAGAGTAGCTCCATAGTGTTGAATGTGATGTGTGTGCAAAATTTTATGTCATTCGAACGAGGTTCATAGACTTTTTGATCGAAAGCGTAAATTTAGAGTTTTGGAGTTCTTAGGCTTGATTTCATGGTTGATTCATCGTTTTGATGTTATTTTAGGTGTTCTAAGGATTGGTATAAGTTTGTATAGTGGTATATGACTTGATCGTGCTTTTGGTTGAGGTCCCAGGGGCCTCGGGATGATTTTGGATGTTTGACGGAAAGGTTTGGAGTTGAAAGTTTCAGCTAAAACTTTAAGTCTATTGTCATAACCGCACCTGTGGCTTGGGTACCACAAGTGCGAGGCCGCAGAAGTGGTCGAGCAACCGCATAAGTGGTTTAAGGTAAAAAGGGAGTTGACCGCAGATGCAGTCAGGGCACCACAGAAGCGGCTCCGCATTTGCGGTAAGGTAGTCACAGGTGTGGAAAATCCTCCTTTAATGAAAAGTCGTATATGCGAACTTGACTCCGCAGAAACGGGACCACAGGTGCGGTTCCAGGACCGCAAATGCGGTTCACTGGTAAGAAAATAGGGATTTCGAGGGTTTAGTTTTAAAACATAGAAAAATCAAATTGGAGCTTGGGAGAGGGCGATTTTGGGAGGAAGTTGAAGAGAAATCATTGGGTAATAATTCTTTAACCCTTTCTAGTTATATTCCATCAATCTATTATTAGTTTTATCATTTAATTTTGGACTGGAGATGAAAATTGGGGGAAAAGTTGGAAGAAAGTTCTTAGACCTAAAATTCGGCTTTTGATTAGGAATATGACCTTGGATTTTGGTACTTTTGGTATGGCTGAGTTCGTGGGAGAGTGAGGATTCTGAAAATGTAAATATTACCCGATTTCTCCCGAGGAGAGTTTTGGTTATTTTACCTAATTTTGCGTATTAGCTTAGAATTTCTTTGTAGTATCAGTTACTTGAAGTGTTATTTACATTATGAAATTGAATTGAATAGATTTGGGCCATTTGGAGTCGAGTACTCGTGGCAAGAGCGTGGTTTCAGATTGATTTGAGCTAGTTCGAGGTAAGTGGCTTGCCTAACCTTGTGTGGGGGACATTCCCTTTAGGATTTGGTATTGTGGTAATTGAAATGCCTGGTATGTAAGGTGACGAGTGCGTACTTTTGCTAATTGTTGAAAAACCTATTTTCACTAAAGTAGCTTTAATTGTGTTTTCCTTTCCTGCTTACTCTACTTAATATTTAAGCCTGCTGTTAGCTTAGAAAAAGCGTGTTTAATCGACTTAATAGCTTATTTGCTTAAACTGCCTTAGTTGTATTATGTGAAGCATGATAGGTTAGAATTACTTGTTTTACTTGGTACGAAATTGAGCTTAATTGAGTATTCTTTGTGTTGTTGCTGTGTTTTTTACTTTGGGATTGCGGGACGGCATCCTAGGAGATCCCCTGCACGTATTTATGAATTGAGCTGAGGTGCAAGATACCGAGAGATCCCTAACACGTATATTGAGGATACCAAGAAATCGTCGGTATACCAAAAGATCCCTGGCATATATTGAGGGTAGTAAGAGATCCTTGTGATACTGAGAGATCCCCGATTATTATCCTTGTGAAGAGTGGTATTTCCTGGTGACTATTTTTGTCTCTGTTCCAGTTACTGTCTTCCTTATTATCCTGTATTAGATTCTTACTGTTAGCTTTCAATTGTACTACTTATCTTATTCTCCCATACCGTATATTTTATTTAATCTCTGTAGGGCGCTGACCTTCCTCGTCACTACTCGACCGAGGTTAGGCTTGACACTTACTAAGTACCGCTGTGGTGTATGTTGATATCCAATTTTTCCTGTATATTTTTTATATGAAAACCACTTTCAAAATAGCATGTATATGCATATATAAGTATGTTCCAAGGTTTTATTATTTTCACTTAATTTTTGAAGATTTTTTAAATCAATTTATTGCCCTATTTTATCAAGAAAAAACTCAATAATTATTTCTAAAATTATCCTTTTGGTAACTCATTTAATGGATTCTCATATTTATGCTAAAATATAGCTAACATAAATTTTTTATATTTTTACAGATTTATTTAGTATTTTTAAAGCTAAATTGCATATAATTGCAATATTAGTCTCTTTTAAGATTTAATTGTGTTTATATTTATAAAACTAACTCCAGTATTTTTAATTTGATAATTATGTACTATTAATCATTTTAGCATCTTTAATTTATTTTCAAAAATTATTTTACTATTTTTTATAAAATAAACAAGGGAAAAGTAGCTATTTAAATGTTAGCCCATTGCATTTCAATTTTAGCCAGATTTGGCACCCCAATTAAACCAAATCTCAAGCCCAATTACCCATCCCAAATCCTAAATCTACCCGACCCATAACCCATTTAAATAACCCGCTCGGATCCCCATTCAATTCAGGCCGTTGATCAAAATGATCAACGACCACCATTTAACCTTTTCTAAATTAATCCCAACCTACCCCCAAACCCTAGTCATTTACACCTATAGCCGCCTTCAAACTCCCACCTCTCTCAGTTCTCTCTCAACTCTCCTCTCAAACCCTAGCTGCTTCCCTCAACTTCCACCCTAAAATCGTCTGAATCCATGGCTTTTGAAGCCATTAAAGGCCTATATCTACCTCTACGACTCCTACATGCTCGATTATCATGGCTTCAAGGCCAGACCTTGAAGAGACTTGGTCCAGACCCCAGATTGTTTCAGTGCTATGGCTGTCTCCGGCCATCTTCGACCTTGCTCCGGTCAGCTATAGCCATTCAGGACTGATCTCGACCTCTCCTGCTTAGATTGATGATTTCCAAGCTTTCTCACCCTCTGAGTTTCTTCTGAAGCCCTAACCTTTGAGGTTCTTCTGATTCTTTTAGATCCGTTGTAGATCTGTGTTCTCTCTAAGCTTTTAAACGTTTTCTCAAAGTTTCTTTCAAAAACTCTGCTTTCAAGATCTTTATCTTTTCTGATTTAGGGTTTTTCTGATCTTTAGCATGGTCTACTGTGTTTCTTATGATTTTATTTTACTGTGTTTCTTATGTGTTTCTTCTACTGTGTTTCTCACGATGTTCTTCTACTGCGATTCTTTATGAGTTTCTTCTACTGCGTTTCTTTATGTTGTTCTTCTATTGTGTTTCTTTATGTGTTTCTTCTACTGTGTTTCTTATGTTGTTCTTCTACTGGAGAATGCATGTTAAAAACCTCAGTTCCTTTCTGAGATTTTTGAACTTATTTCATTAGTATCTTTTGCCTTAATTACTTGTCCTTTCATCTCTACACTCGATTGATGGCAAAACCCTAAAATTTGGGGATTCATTTGAGTTTTGAGACCATTTGCTATGTGATTTGCTTGTTCTTCATCTCTGGACTTGTTTAATGTCAAAACCCTAACTGTTTTGGACCTTTTCGGGTTTCTGAAGTTATTTTATCTATTGCTCGTTGGAGCTTCGAAATCTTTGTTTCGACCTCTGTTTCTTTATATGATTCTGATTCCCTGCTAAACTCTTCTAAGGTCTTTCTACTGGACCCTTCGTATGCCATTTGATACTCTCTCTTTTCTCCATTGCTGAGTTACTATGTGACTACCATGATCCTATAGTCTACTGCTTATTGATTTTGCAATTGCATGACACTTTTCATTGTCCTAAATTCAGCCTCGCATGCCTAATACTTATGTACTCTTTATATGTGCTTAAGTTCCCCTCTAAAATAACTTTCAATTTTTGACTGATTTCATACTTCCTTTTGTGTAACTCTGATTGATTTCTTTCCTTGTTTTGCTAATTTCCCTGTTACTTGGTTTGAGTCGAAAACTTTCCTTAGCCTTTCTGATTTGGTTTATTCATGAACCAGTAATTTCAAATCTCTGACTCCTTAATTTACTATGTACTAATTGATTCTTGCCATATTTGTTTAATCGTGTATTTCAAAGATCCTTCCCTTAATTAAACTCTTATATATTTACCCCTAATTGCCTACTTTACACAAGATGCTTACTTGATCTCTTTCCTTAAATAATTTTTGCTCATTACCGTTTAAGTTTGAACTCCTTAATTAAAGGAAGTTCTTCTACTAATTGATTTTAATTGGTACATGGTTATTTTCTTGCCTTATTCTCTGCCTGTTTTCAAACTATAAATACCATGCTCTTTCATTGACACAAAAAGACACGAACACTCTTAGTTTTCTGAACTCACACTCACATTCAAAAAGCACTTTCTCTTTTGTTACTTGTACTGTGGACTGTTTTCTTTCAAGTACTGCTATTGCTGTATTTTGCTTCTTTGAACTGGTATGTTTTGATTAAATTTCCAGCATCACAACAATATGTTTACTTAATACTTTTACCTTCTTGTCTGTCTACTGCTTGTGTTTAGTTTAGTACTTATTTTAGCATGCTATAATTTCCTTCTGCCTGTTCTGAATCTATTATGAATCCCAAACCCCCACCCCAATGTGTTTGATGCTATGGTTTGCTTGAGACATGACAATACTGAATATTACTTCCCATGACTCAAGCTTGATCCCCTACTTCTATGTTTCTCTAATATTGTATGTCCTGGTAGGCTTATAGGCATGCCATCATTGTCTATTGCTGTGCATGCCCAAAGCTTACCCTTGCCTAAGCACATAGGCTCTTTGCAATTTCCCTATTCCCCTAAACCCCTTTTGTGTACTTGTTTGTAGCTGTTTCCCTCTCCTTCACCCCTTTAGACCTCTGCTATATTCCTGCATATTCAATCTCATATAGAAACCATGTCTATAGGATTCTGCATATTCAACTTCATCTAGAAATAATGTCTATAGGGTTCTGCATATTTAACTTCATGTAGAGATTATGCCTATAGGATGTTCTGAATTCTGCATGTTCAAACTTCATCTAGAAATCATGTCTATAGAGTTCTGCATATTTAACTTCATGTAGAGATTATGCCTATAGGATGTTCTGAATTCTGCATGTTCAAACTTCATCTAGAAATCATGTCTATAGAGTTCTGCATATTTAACTTCATATAGAAATTATGCCTATAAGATGTTCTGAATTCTGCATAAGGTTTAAAACAAGGTCCGCATTTAGACACCACGTCAGTAACGCCTAAAAAGCATGCCTATAGGAGTTTCTAATAAAAATCCGATTCGCCTCACTCAGTGTTAGATATTAAACCAGTAGTAATAGCTGTTATCATTGCAGAACTCACAATCGATTCAATTTTGCCTCTCTTTTAATAGTCGGAGTCCCTCACTTAGAAGTTACCATATAGGATTTCAAAAAGTTCATTTCGAGCCTTATTGTTTCATTGCTTTCTGAATCCAGTAGATACCATGCCTATAGGACCCCCTGTCCAAACACTTAGGCAAGCCTTAGGGTAATAAATGTAAACTGAATATGCTTCTGTTAATAATTAAAACTAGCAGGCAGGCCTGACTCAGACTTCTTATCTGAGTTATGCGATAAGCTGAAACTGTCTCAACAATTTCCTCTATCTCATCCTTAATACCTTTAAAATTAGACCTAAATAGTATGTGTAAGTCATGCTAATTACGTGCATCTTTGTTTAAGGAGGTATATCTGATCCTCTGCTTGTTATATGTTTTCCCCAATTTGCAATATGTGTTTTGTATGTCGCCTAGAGTTTTACCTTTGAAACTCCAAATAAGCCCAACATCCTTCCCCTTTAGGATTAGTAGTCCTAAATGCCTCCGGGACTGATTGGAATAGGACGGGTAATATCAAGCAATAAGTAAACGAGACCAATCCACGCTTTAAATACCTTAACGGGGTGGGAAGGGTAGATATGGATATGCTGACCACGCGATAATGTCACGTGTAGTCCCTCATTGAGGAGTGATTATCGGACATTGTGTGGGGTAATCCATATATTTTTTATAAACCTAGGACCCCCTTTCCTTTATTCTTTATTCTTTTATCATTTCAACTCCTTTTTTAAAATTAGCTTCCTTGGCTCTTCCAAGCTTTGTTTGTTTGCAATCTATTGTATGAACCCCCCCTTTTATTTGAGCCCTATTTGTCACATGATAATTGCACCCCAAATTCATAATAATTGTCTAGCCGGGAACCACACTGGTGGATTCTGAGGGGTGCCTAACACCTTCCCCTTGGAATAATTTCAAGCCCTTACCCTAGTCTTTGGTTATTCAAAATCAAACTCTTTTGGTGTCCTAATGCACCTTAAATCATTAGGTGGTGACTCTTTAAATGCAAACTCAATTCCCAAATGGAATGAGTTGTCCCTCCAAATGTCATAAACCCGATTTCGCTCTAGAGAGAAAAATGGGGCACGATAGCTTGGCGACTCTGCTGGGGATTTTTAGGCTTTTATCATTTCAGACTATTATTGTGAATTTATGCTTCTTTATGCGCAATTATCTATTTATAAGCATTCAATTTTTTTTTTCGATTGCAAAACTGACTTGTCTTTTTGTTTCTTTTCTTTACTGCTTTCCTTTACTACCGCTTTAAATTATGAAGAACTGTTGTATTTACTGCTTTCCTAATGTGCAAATATGTGACAACCTGCTTTAATTGTTGCATAATCATGCTCAATATCATATTCAACTCGTACCAAACAAAATACCATATCAACGCTTATAATGAGTGGTTGCGCTCTTCTGATATTATCACCCCTAAATCCGAAAAAGGCATATTTGTGGTAAAACCAGTCGATCAACGGTGTAGTCGACGATTCCATGCCTTTCCCCCTTGAGTTGTCTGCTCAAGGGCACCAGTCTAAAACCCTATAGAAACCTTACTTTGTTAAACTGTGCATGCATCATGGTCAAACCTAGACGAGTCGGTTATGTTGTCCGCATAATGACTCTTTAAGATATCCTTGTCCGAAGTCCACTAGGTTTCCCTAAAACCCAAACGGACACCATCACGTTCTATGTATTTATTTGGAGAACTAAATGCTTTATGCTAATTGCTGATGTTAAATAGTCGAGTCTGGCGGGGGTAAGGGCCTAACCTTGTTTGTCTTGCAGAAAATGAAGAACGAGGTCCCCAACTTCCACTCTTGCTAGACTAGTGGAGGAGTCTTCCATCAGATGACCAGATCAATGAGTGGAAAGAGAGGGTCGCCAAAGCTAGCGAAAAGGTGGAATATCTGGAATACAGTCTACTGGAATTGGAAGGAAAAGTGAGGAAGAGAGTCACCGACTGCCAGAACGCTGAAGGAAGTGAAGGAGAACAACTGGCAAAGGCATTTTTACTGGTGAACCTACGCGAGCTGGAGGATTTGATCAACGAGAGCATTCAACCTAAGGAAGGTCCTTCTGGGATCAAGTAGATAGGAATTTACCTTTTCATTTTATGAATGTAATAGGAATTTACTTTTTTGTTTTTCGGCCACTAGTGATATTTTATTTCCTGTTATTTATTGTCGATTTGGATTTCATCTACTTTTTATCAATAAAATGAGGCATTTAGCATTCTAATTTCTCCAAATCAACTTGTCACTAGGCCTACTTCGGGCACATAGAGGTTCCCAAATAGGACACGATTTACATTCTTGCACTATGTGTTTAAAAATCGCAACATTTTCTTATAATCCTCACCGACTTGTTACCTTTTTGTTTTTACTTTTTGTTTATTTATTCCCCTCCTCAAAGGTTAGTTCGTGCACTCTAGCAACATCATCTTATTCAACGAGATCCAGGGGCCCTCCACCCACTCCTCTTCTTAGTCCTGTCAAAAACAAGAACAAAGAGAAGATGGAAGATTTGAACAATGCAAGAAAAGAGAACTTAACTGAACAGGT